TCCCCGCATGTCATCAAAGAAAGCAGAATGAAATAGTTCCGAATAGAAGGGAGAGAGCTAATGAGCCTCACTATGTCCCAAGCCAGTCACCCGCATTGATTGCGTAAAAATACATTTTGCATCTGGTATTTGATTTGCCACACAGTTTAACAGAAAAGTGACTTTATCTATTTTTTTTCCAATTAGGGGAAGTAATGTTACAATCAATAATTCCTCCTGCTCTGGTGTGCTAAATTAATGTCTGTCTGTCTGTTTTTAAATCGCAAAGTGAGCATTGCTATAGAAATATAAAATGGTACTATTTCATTTTAATCTATTTAATTTTCCATCTTGAATTATATAATGGGGTTAAAACATTGAATAGAATTAATAGAATGAGTATTTAATTAAGCAATAATGAGTTTCTAAATGGATGCTCAAGGAAACTGACTTTGTAGTTTATGCAAGAATCAGATAATGGTCCTAACAAAGACTGTAATAATTGTGTTGAATGTTTTCTATATTTAAAGATTTCTTTTTCTGAATTCTCTCAAGGGTAGATTTAAACACAGTCCAGTTCCTTGACTAGACTCGGCTTGGCTTTCATGGTAAATTCCAGTGCCTTTCCTTGGCCCCCAAAGCCTTGCATAATCTGAATCTGTCCTTCTCTGCAGTCCAGTGGGAAACAGTTCTCCCAGCCTCCCCCCACTCCAGACACACCCACCTTCCCTCCCTTCTGCAAATGCGCATGCTCCCCGCTGCCACTGGTCTCTGCTCCTGCTGTTCCAGATGCCAGGGCCACTCTCTCTCCTTTCACCCTACTAACTCCTCCTCTGCTTTCAGTTCTCAGGGAATCCCTCCCTAATGACCCTCCAAAGACTGGGTCAGGTACCCACTCCCTCTCACCAGCCCCCTTTCAAGCTACAGGCTCAGTGTTACTTTTTTTCCTAATATTGAACATAGGTTTATTACCAGACATATACCATGTCTGTTTTATTTTGTAGTGTATGCCTAGAATTTAAGACTATATCATGCCTGGCATACAGAAGCCATTTGCCAAATATCTGTTGGCTGGATGTCTGTTTGGAAGAGCAATAAATGGCCAAATGGATAGAGAATGATGGACAAATGGGTGGGTGGGTGGATGGATGGATGGATGGATGGATGGATG